GCCTAAAATTTGACGAAAATGTCTTCACTTTTATCGGCAAAGCAAGAATGCTAATATGGTTTATAAATAAAAACTTCCCAACATATGAGGCTAAGCGCACACTCTTTAAAATATGCATAAGGTACTAACTTAATTGCTGCTCATTTATCTTTTCAAACATGAATATCATGGGATAGAAAAAGGTATAAAAGCTACAAAGAAGATTCACCGGACGACCGCTAGGACAAAACCATAATCTCGACTAAACAGACAGGCAAACATATTTCCCTAGAGCCCCTATGACGGCGTCGTTTGTAAAACAACCCAATACTTCTCAATTGAATAATATATGGCCTCTCGTTCGTAAAATACCGCCCAATTATGAACAGTGACAATGCCGATAGACTTCGCATATACACCATTAACGGCAAAACACAGAGAATCATTGCGGCGTAATTTCTCTGTAACACGATACAGCATATTTGGGAACAGATTACCTATCACTAACCGTTTCTGTGACACAATCACCAAGTTCAGAAAACTAGTGATGCCGTTTTTTAGGCTATGAAGAGGTTTATCGACTATTCCCAAAACTCACTGTTTTTTGATCCACCAAATATTTAAATTCCCCTTCCGAAATAATAACATATCATGAGTAATTTATGCTCTTGTTAGACTCTATAGATATTTGTTGACTATTCCGAGAACTAACATCAAGTCAGGGAGCTATTTCTCATGGTCCACCAAACATTAGGATTGACCTTCTTTTGGAGGACGTTTGGTTTGTTAGCCATTTATCTTGAAAATGGTTCGTACTCTTAGCCTTTTTTTTGTTTTGGCCGCATTAGTCGACCTTAGTTGTGAGGCATACCGCTTACATTTTCCAGTCGGTACACACTTTACTGTCACTGGTTGACGGATTTTATAGTAAGCTATTTTAAGACTTTCCCGAAGACGTTGCTTTCGTTGTATTAATAAGCCTGATTCTTGAGCTTAGCAACCAGGTATTTTCCGGTTGATTGTAGAGTACACTTTCTATGCCATTTGAAGACTTTCCGACATGGCCAGTAGAACGTGGAAAACATATAGCAATGGCCTTCCGTGTCATTGCATCATTTGTCTTTGCTCTGTTTACAGTTTAATGTGAACGCGTATTAGTTTCAAGCATATCATATCAAGCATATCCTATTCAAAACTATTGACAGACCATGAGAATATATCATATCATTAGCATGTATGCAAGTATCGAAAAATTTTAGACGAATCTTATCAATTTTGCCAACAGTAAAGGTCAATCTTTTGAGGTGCTACCCACAACACATGGCGTTTTCGAAAACATCAAAGTCAAACTTTTCATAGCACTTTTAGTTTCTATTAAGAGTAGAAAGGTAGATTGAAGGCCTGTAGATGCTGATCAACTAGTGTCCAATACAAGGATTTCAAACTTCTAGTACCATTATGTGTTCCATTTTTTATACGTGTTAAAAGTTGATTACATTATTAATCTCATAATACCCATTTTAAGCCTTACTCAAAATGTATGAACACTTTATTTCACATTTTCATTCTTCAGCCATATATCGTTCTTATCTCCAAACTAACTTTTTTCGAAACAAGTATCTCACCATTTACTTCACTAAATAACTTAAATGCACTTTCATATGCTACATGATTATTAAGTTCAACAATGAAATGCAAAAGATGCATGGTTTACTTGTAAATTAGAGACGGTTGAAACAGTGCAAAAAGACCGAATGCACCAGAAATACTCAGACTAAAAAAAATTATTTAAAGGAAACAATTCATCATAAAAGCAATTAATGTCAAAAAAAGTGAGGGTGGATTTTATAAGGGAAGATAAGAGGGCGAGTCGATAACATGTATGGCGACAACCACATTGTATTCTCTATATTTGTCGAACTGATACCGAATTTCATTTGCTAGTCTAATGCGGTTGAATCAGCACTAAAATGTGTGCTCTAAAATCAACCACAAGTAGACGTGTATATCCACATATTGTTACTCAGTGAATCGCAACTCCGTTCATATTTTATGCCAATCAGTAAACTACGAGGGTGAAACTTTTCTCACTTTAAAATACTGAGTACAATCTTGCATATTAGGACAATAATGTTTCACTTATCGGTAATCTTGTATTAGTTTGTGGGAAGTTGATAAATATTCTGAGAAGTAATCGCATTGTTATGATAAAAGTACATGTGTGAATAAGGTCAAGTGGATTAACTGAAACAAGTTCTCATGAAGAAATAGTTGTAGTATTGGTATTGTTCCATTATTAGTAATAATGAAGATGGTGTGCTTATGTATAAAGTATCAGCAGTAGAATTTTATGGTACAAGCAGTTAGAATAGTTCCGTCCATCGACAGACTAATTAACAGCATTTTGTACACACTGCCATTTCAATATTCGTTTATTTATCTCTTTCTCGACTCGACTAACACGGTGAACAAGGAACGTCTTTGTTTGGAGCCGCCATTCGAAATAATCTGACAATTCTACTAGTTCATTGAAATTTTCACAAAATGACAGGTAGACAGATACATAGCGATATGTATCTAGAAGTCTCACACTACTGTTGTGGCTCACTTACTTGCTTCAACTTCGATGCATTTGTAGTGCAAACCTGGGTACTTGGATGTGAATAATAAGTTGAAGTCACACTGAATTTAATGTCGTCTTCATTCTGTACAAGCTGTTAGAATAGTTCCGTCCATCGACAGACTGATTAACAGCATTTTGTACACACTGCTGAGTGAGTACTTCGGATCATCTGTAGAAGACGGTAATAACATTTCCCTTTACGGTCCTTCAGCTTAACTAGCAGAAGAAATCGTGACGTAGTAATAAGACACCAACGCCAAATGGTGAGGCGATTTGTCGGCGAATGAACGGGTTGATTTGAAAATAAGAGCAAATAAATTAAATACAATAATCCCATATGCAGTCACACGACTAAGATGTGTTTGAGTGAATAATAAATTGTTGAAATGCAAGTGATTTCAATCTATGCCTATTATTCATGGAAACACGAGCGGATAAACATATATGATCTTGCCTAATTTTGTCGAACCGATGCAAAACTTCATAAGCTAGTCTCCGACGGTTGTATCACCACAAATACGTGTGCTCTGAAATCCATTTCATGTGGCCATGAATATTCACACACTGTTATGTAGTGAATCGCAACTCCGTTCATATTTTATGCCATTCAGTAAACTACGAGGGTGAAACTTTTCTCACTTTAAAATACTGAGTACAATCTTGCATATTAGGACAATAATGTTTCACTTATCGGTAATCTTGTATTAGTTTGTGGGAAGTTGATAAATATTCTGAGAAGTAATCGCATTGTTATGATAAAAGTACATGTGTGAATAAGGTCAAGTTGACGAACTGAAACAAGTTCTCATGAAGAAATAGTGGTAGTATGGCTATTGTAGCATTGTTAAAAATTATGAAGATGGTGTGCTTATGTATCACGTATCAGTAGTAGAATTACATGGTTCAATAACTGTCGAGATCATACTATGAGCATTTTTATCTGTATTAGTAGTGCACGTGAACTCGACAAATGTTTCATTAATACACTTGACAAACCGGTCATTTCAGATTGTTGTAGCTCGTGGTTGGCTTATTTGTAAGTGTTTATAGAACAGTGAGAAGTGGGAATTCATCTGGATATTGGTTGTGTCTCCGCGCAAAACAGTTTGATTACTCGTGTCGTTCATTTACTTGCTACATTTTCATACACTGGAATTACCTTGGTCTTGTGTTTAAAGAGGTTAGTAAAATAAAATGCTTGTTGTAGATGGTCAAGTTAGTAACTGCATTGATTTCGTGATTTTCAATGGACTTAAGGGATATTTGACTTTTGATTATTTGGTTTGTGTCTAGTAGCTTTGGATAATTCATCAGCATTAACGCGCGCCCACACTTGGAGGTTGACAAAGTCATCACACCCCCTCTGCCTAAAAGAGATATAAATCTCTTGGATCAAGTGCAGAGACCAGCAACAAATTGGTGATAGGGTTGAAAAATAAACCGTACAACGATAGACTCCAGCTCTTCGGATTATTTCCACTGAGCTACAGTAGAATCAGAGGTGATCTGATTATGGCGTACACCATATTAAACACGCCAAACCATCCCAATGTGAGCATCTTACCGATGCATCACCAACACTCCCCTCGAGGTAATCCTCGAAAGATTGCACATCAAATAGCGAATACTCAGATTCGTGCACAGTTTTTCTCATTGCGAATCGTCGCAACTTGGAATGCTCTCCCATTCGAGGTAACCACAGCCCCACAGTGGACTGCTATGAGAAGAGACTTGATAATCACGTACTCACATACGGACTATCATCTCCCTCTTGGACAAGCTGTGCCTGATGCATATCTTGAGACATGCTAGTTGCTACCATTGCCATCTCCTCAGATCGCTCAATCAATCTATCTCGCCTATTATCTCTGTTTCCTCTCCCTTGCTTACACTTCGGTCCTCTCTCACAATCTTCACTACCAACTAATAAACTAAATTCATCTATATATTACTCATATCTGAAATTTTATTCATTTTATCACTATAATTTTATCCTTATTATCCTTATTATTCTCCACATTGCAACTAACTGATCTACGGTTTGGTAATGTGACGGATGCTAGTATCCAGAAACCCTACTGCCTTGAAACAAACGTTTCATTCAAATCCCGAGACATACAAACTCACAATCAACTGCCAACTGACTAGAATTAGAAAGTCGAGTGGCTGGACTACCACTCATTGGACACTACCAAACACCTGGAACCGTGTCGAAAGAGCAAGGATCGACCGCGAAATAATCAACTGGTTTATACTAGCTCGTGAAAAAGATATTCGATATATATTGGATATTGGATATTGTTCACAAATTTGGCAACAGAATTTAAGGTCAAGGAAGGTGGTTTGAATTTTGGTCTCCAAACTCATGATTCCCACTGGCATAATCTAACATAAAGTTATGGGAAACTGTTTTGGATTTCGAAGTGAAAGTTCGTACCTTCTGGATCAAGAGGCTTACGAAACTCAAGATGACCAAGATGAAAGCCCAAGGACAGATGCAAGTCCATAACTAACAGTTATATTTCACATATAATCTTAGTTTAGGACGATTAAATAATACAGAGATCTTATAGGAAGTCAGCTTTAAGCTTTAGTAAATGCTTATCTATATTAATAAGTATTTGATATTTGCTTTTGTCTGGGACTGAGTCATTACCTGTAGGATTAATTGGTTTCTTCCTAAATTCTCAGACATAAGACCTAAATATCTTGTTTAGCACTTAACGGGCTTAATTCTTCGTATGAATCCCGCCTCTTCTAGGTTTGACAGTAGTATCAAAAACAGAATTATTCATTGAATACTTAGTATGGAGTCTGTTATTTATTTTGTTGGTAACTTGTTGTTGAAACTTGTAAATCATGTAGTTTCGGATCGTTGTCGAGCTTTGAACTCGACAAGAAATTAAGAAATAATTATGCCAGTAGTTATAAAAACTTTTAAAAATACAAACACAAGTTAGGATATGAGATAAAGTTTATGCAGGACAGTAATAAATCCGTGTTCCTCTTCATGGTTACATGCAGAAAAAAATATTCTGAATATCTTTATTTGGATTGAACATCGAGAACCATCATTTTTGTGGTGGATCATCACTTAGATCTATGCAGTTTTGTTACTGCTTATTCAGAATTTTCATTTTTAACAGATGAAAGGCGGTGTTTTAGGGAATTTTTGTCGCTTTACTTTTAACGGTAGCTACAAACCTCTAAGCTGAGCGGCTAACATTTTACTCATAAAGTAATTTTTAATTACATATTAGCTGTCAGAAAGACAAATTTACTGCTTCAGGTTCTTCTAAGCATCTCAAGTGACGGTCTAACTATTCATTCCCCTGAATTTACTACTGTATTGTTGTTTAAAGTGATTTCTATGGCGTAGATTTTGTGTAGATTGCAGATATTTGATCATCAATGTCAGTCGGCCAGTTACGACGTAGAACTTCCTACGTACCACATTAGCACAGACGCAATTTTCAGTTCAAATCACATAGTGGTAGAAATAGTAGAAGTATTATGGTTCGAAGAGATTATTCAAGAAGTATGATTCTATGAATTTAGAAAGAGAGAGATAGAGATGATGAGGAATTCGGAAAATTAGAATTTGAAATGGTCATTAATGTCATCACAATCGACCTTGAAATGTCGATATGAGGTATATTGTTTTTGTATAGTCTTATTCATATCGAGATGAATAATTACCTCCACCAGGTGCTAATTGTTAAACGTTTAGAGCCTAAATGACTAGCTTGGAATTATTTTGCCTAACCCCATTATTTTTCACTCTATTGCTTCGCCAAGTGTTATAAATGCTTCAAATACCCAACTAATAGTATACAGTTTATTCATTTCTTATGTCTAAAAGCTAAACTTAATCCTGAACTCCTGAGATTTTTAAGGATGGTGGTCCAGCTTTAGCGGCTAGATTGACCGAGATCTTGGATAGAATCTGGGAACTGGACGTAATGCCATCTGACTGGTCCCAATCCTTAATTGTCCCAATTTATAATATAGTTTCTAAATTGTTAGCCTCGATCACGCTTAGACGCCTAACTATAGCTCGTGAGAAGGGGACTAGAGAAAATCAGGCTGGTTTCAGACCTGGACGTGGATGTATAGACCACATCTCCACACTACTACAGTTCCTGGAACACAGACTCACATTTAGGCGTCCTACAATAGTTGTCTTCCTGGACCTTAAGACGGCATTTGACTCTGTGGATCGTAAGGTTCTGTGGCAGTGCCTGTCATTGAAAGGTGTACCAAGGAAGTACATTAACTTTATAAAAGCTCTGTACTCGAACACGACTGGTTAGGCGAGAGCCTCTGGCGAACTGTCATCGTAATTCTTTACTTCAAGTGGTGTCCATCAAGGATGTCCACTTTCCCCGTTCTTGTTTAATTTCGTCATATACGTGCTTCCAGATATAACCTTATCCTTGTCCGACTTTTCAAGAGTGGACCTACCAGGGAAATCGCTTGTTGACTTAGAATATGCCGATGACATAGTTCTATTCGGTGAAGACGCTGACAAAATGCAGAGTCTTCTGACCACCCTAAGCAACAATGCGAGCATGTTCGGGATGCGGTTTTCCCCCTCCAAATGCAAAATATTGCTTCATGATTGGCTTGCGACTTCACTGAAACTAGTGATAGGGAGTGAAGTAGTCGAACGTGTTAGCCGCTTCACTTATTTCGGCAGTCTCGTCAGTGCTGATGGCCTGGCGACTGATATAGAAGGCTCGATTGGCTTTCGCCAACCTGCGTCACCTATGGCGCAGGCGAAATATCCGCTTGCCAACCAAAGGACGAGTGTACTGTGCAGCAGTTCGCTCTGTCCTACTATACGGATGCGAAACATGGCGTTAGGAAACGAGTTCTAGGTAGGGATGGCAAATCAGTAGATGAAGTAATGAAACTTCGTCAGTTGAGGTGGTTAGGACGTGTGTTACGTATGTACAACCACCGAATGCCTCGACGAGCAATGTTTTTTGGTGTAGGAGTAGGTTGAAAGACCGACCGTAGCTGCTACCTTGACGTGGTGGTCGGGCTTGCCTATCGTGATGACCCAACCGAGCTATACTGGCTGGAACATATGTTCCTCAAGGTTCTACTATGCCAGGCAGGTCGACTGGAGAACGATGAGACTAAAAGCAGCTACACAAGGTCTGAGGGCGAAGTCGTACTGCTGACTGTGATGGAGGGGTGTGACAGCAGTAAGGTGTTTCCCTCGGACAACCAGCATCTGCAGCGATGCTGCCTTCTCACAAGGAAGGAAGGGTTAGAAAAGGTCAACCCTAAAAATGTCACACCTCTCCTAACTCACGGATTTCCGTCTCCTTGGGTAAGGGTGCCCACTAAGGGCCTTTAAGAACGGAGATAATCCTCAAAAAACATTTCATAAAAAGGCCGTGCGTGACCGGCCTCAAGCAGTTGTCCCTTGGGCTCTGCGGTCACGCACCAACACTAATCTATCTTCCTTTTCAGGTTCCTCAAGAAACAACCTTCCACGGTGTGGGCAGCCGGGAAGTGACAACCGCCCTCATACCCATAACAGCATGCGAGACCAAATTGGTCAAAATCAAATCCTTCCTACACCCCCTAGTACCTCTCTTATCTCCACGACTAACTCTTCTCACATTCATTCATCACAGTGCACAGCTAATGCAGACGATACGAGTTCGCGAAACGTCGTTCCTGGTCTCCTTAAACCTCGCTCTAGACTACATGTTGGAGCATTTAATGTACGGACATTGTGTCAAATAGGGCAACAGGCTTCCTTAGCTAGGACTTTAGAATCTCGTGCCATCGATGTATGCTGCGTCTCGGAAACGCGCATACAGGATCTGAGTCACGTCATGCACTTGGCCACACCATGTCAAAATAAAGAAGCAGCTCGATTTACTCTTCGTGTATCCGGTAGCCCTGATGCTGCTTCCCGCGGTCTTGCTGGCGTAGGCATAGCATTGAGTCGTAGGGCAGAACAATCTCTCCTTGACTGGATCCCAGTAGATAGTCGCTTGTGCGCCATCCGACTAAACGGGACAGTAAGGACTCGGAAGGATAGGGACACTCGTCGTTGCCTCTTCATCGTATCTGCCTATGCCCCCACTGAATGCAGTTCAGACGAGGTTAAAGATGAGTTTTACAGAAAGCTTTCGGACCTCCTCCAAAAAGCTAGGCGCTCTGATATAGTAATAATGGCTGGTGACTTTAATGCTCAAGTAGGTAGACTAAGTGAAAATGAAAGACACCTAGGTGGATGTTATGGTGTCCCGGCTCAGAGAACAGACAATGGTGACCGTCTGTTGCAAGCGTGCTCAGACAACCGCCTATTCTTAGCGAACACTAACTTTAGGCATAAGGAAAAGCATCTGTTGACCTGGCGACCTCCAAAGTCGTCTCAACGTTGGACTCAATTAGATCACATCGCCATCAGCCACCGATGGAGGGGTTCGATAGAGGACTGTCGCTCGTTCTGGGGCACATGTTTGGATTCAGATCATGCTGTGGTGCGAGCGCGTATTTGTTTGAAGCTTACTGGGTGTAGGAAAGACACCGTAAGAAAGCCTCTTAGGGTTTTACTTAATGATAATAAGGCGAAAAATATATTTCAGGAACAACTAGAAAGACAGTTAGGCGACCATTTAAGCGATTCCCATCCGGAAGCAGGATGGAATGATATCAAAAAGGCTGTGGAAACAGCAGTGATATCTGCTAGTAAGGTTGACCATAAGGCTAGAATGAAGCCGTGGATCTCAGTAGCATCCACCGATCTGATGGATGCCCGAAAACTCATCCCACCTGGCTCTGAACATGATGAAGAACGAAGTCAACTTAGGCGCAGACTTATAAAAAGCCTACGTAACGACCGCGAACAGTGGTGGTGGCGAAAGCAAAAGCGATGGAAAAGGCAGCGGCAATCGGCAACACTAGACAACTTTTCCGCCTTATTAAAGAAACTGGAATTAGGAATCCTAGTGTAAGTGACACTATCTCAGAAAATGACGGGACTCTCATTTATTCTCAATCCAGGAGACTGGATCGATGGGCAGAACACTTTAGGGATCAGTTCAACTGGCCTCGAGCCACTCTTCGGTTACCCACGATCTCCAGTCATCCTGAATGGCAAATCGACGTAAGTCCCCCTAGTCTTAATGAAGTTGAAAAAGCGTTAGGAAATCTGAAGCGAGGACGAGCTGCGGGTCCTGATAGACTGACCCCTGATATATTTAAGGATGGTGGTCCAGTTTTAGCAGCTAGATTGACTGAGATCTTAGGTAGAATCTGGGAACTGGACGTGATCCCATCCGACTGGTCTCAATCACTGATTGTCCCAATTTATAAGAAAGGACAAAAGTCTTCTTGTGACAATCACAGGGGAATAAGTCTAACTAATATAGTATCTAAAATATTGGCCTCAGTAATACTTCGACGCTTGACGAAAGCTCGTGAAGAGCAAACTCGAGAAAACCAATCTGGTTTTCGACCTGGACGTGG